TCCTGAGGTGGGGTTTCTTTTCTTTGAACTATTGTCCTTATTGATGCCACTTGCAGCTATTTTATTTGTTCTAACTTTCTGGTTCTGATTAATGTCTTTTATCATTTCTACTTTTACTTTTTAATCCATGCCTTTAAGGTGCTGATCTCTGAGGGCCTCGGGAAATACGCCAGGGACCCCAAGTTTGTGACGGCTGCCAAACACGAGATCGCCGACGCCTGTGAAATGACCATCGACGAGATGGAGAGCGCCGCCAGCAACCTTCTGAATGGAAGCATGGGGAACGGCAGCACAGCAGGGACTGGAAACGCCAGCTCAGACTCACGTGCTGATATGCACCCCAGGGACTACAGCGACGAGGAGCCGTACGTGGCTGTGAAATGTGAGGAGGACCTAGCGGACGAGATGATATGCATCACTTCTCTATAGCAGCGGCTCAGAGCAGATTATATAGTTAATTCATGTACGGGAATGTCTCTACACACCCTATAGACAATGGAAAAAAAAAAAACAGGGATCAATGTGAGAGCAAAGTGCCTTGTTTTCTTTTTCTGCTTTGTAGAGTTAAGACGGACACATGATTTTGTGCTATGAGTTAAACCAGGAGACATAAATCTGCCTGCCAGCTTCTTTGAAAGCAGGTCAGTTATTAAGAGTTGTTTCTATTTTCCTAATTAATGACATCTGTTTGATAAAGCTTCAAAGCTTTAGCGCATGGTTTCTATGAATAATAAAACTCAGCTTTAATTTATGGGTGTTTTAATCCACCTGGTGTTGTGTGAACAATGCCTGGGGGGGGTTAGTGCTCTGCGCTAAAGCTGCAAAACTTCAAACAAATGAGGCCATAAATCATGGAGAGCCAATATAAAAATAGAGGAAAAAAATGTGCCACTGCTGGCCTCCTGCAGATAGAAATAAGAAAATGAAAAAGACTTACCTGGAATTCTTCTTGTGTAAATAGTTTTAGAAAACTGAAAAATTAAACCCTTCCAAATCCCTCCACTTGGTTTGCAGTGATGATGTCACTAACTGGGCCTGTGGCTCCCAAAGATTCAAAAGTTCCTGAAATTATTTGCATTTTTTGTGCATATATAGTATGTGTAATTTTGCCCCTAATTTGTCAAACTTGTTAGAAAGTGTATCAATGTTACTTTTTTTTTTTTTTTTTACCTTATCTGTTTTATGGCGGATCCAAAGTCAGAGCAGTTTTACAGTGCCTTGTAAAAGTAGTCATACCCCCTTAACTTTTGCACTTTTTGTAAAAACCTGTGTATTTTGATTAGGCTTCAATACTTTGCCTCAATAAAATCCAGTGACTGCCGATTGCCTCCACTTAAAACCATTAAATTAGCTGCTGTCATCCTAACTACAATTTAGTCCCAGCTAAGATCAAAGCACATTGACGTAGGCATCACCTAAACTTTCCTGCACGCAGATGATTGAAAGAGCTGAAGGTTTTGTCCGCAAAGACAAATGAGCAGAACTGTATGTTTCTAGATGTGTAAAGCTGATAAAGACGCACCGCTGAACACTTGCAGCTGTAGCAGCAGCAAAAACAAGCCGTACAAAATGTTCGCTCTGGCTGGTTTCACAATTTTCATCCATTTCCATTTTCTTGTCACGAGATTAATTACAAGAAACGAAAAAAGAAAAAAACACCTTAAACCCCATTAAGGGGTGTGGTTTTACTTTGACAAAATTTGAACAGGTTCAAGGGGTATGGATGCTTTTGCTAAGGACTATATATATAAATCAAGCTGCTATGGATAAAAATATTCAGGATTTCAGGGTTAAACATTTTTTTCTTTCATTAACTTGAATATTAATTTACATATCAGTGAATGAAGACCTTAAACTCATCTACATTCTTCCACTTCATGTGCTCTCTTTACTTTGCCCCATCTCAATACTGATGCTTAATTTTTGCAATGAAATCTAAAAAAAAAAACAAAAAAAAAACTCCTGCACTCCAAAAACGATGTATAAATAAGAAATAAAAATTATTAAATTAAGTGTATTTACTCTTAATTTCAGCAGGTAAATAAGATGATTTGACAAAGGAATGAATATTTTTATTCTTAAAAAAAAAAAGATAACTAGATAACATGCACTTAAAATATAATAATAATAAAAATATAATTTAAAATCTTATTTTAGATGTAATTGTCTTGTGTCATTGGCAAAGTGTCTCACCACTTCGATTCAAGAAAAAATACACTTATTTTAAGAAAAAATTATTGATTTAGATTAACATTTGTTGCAGTGAAAGAGGCAGTGTAAGAAAACAGATTTCATTGTAAATGATCCTAAAATATGCAATTTGTTATTTGATAGATGATTTTACCAGTCATCTTTATTGTCTCATCTGCTGATTGACACACAGCCCTTTTAAGGAAACAATGTTGGATTGCCCCAGCTTCGTTGGCCACTGGATGAAACAGATGCGTGCATCTTTCTTGTTTCAATATTGTACTTTCAGAGCCCCCCAGTGGAAATTGGGGCCTCTTAAGTGGTGGCATTGAGAGGTTATATTTGAGGCTTTTATCTAACAGCATTTTCATAACACAGGTTTGTGAATAGAGGGCACGGCTGCAGGATGAGATGCGACACTCATATATTTTCTCCACCTCCAGCCAGTACTGTTTGCTATCACTGCCAACTATAATACCTTCAGGTTAACTTGTGGAGATCAGCTCTGGGCTGTGGCGGCCACAACGTGTGTAATCAAAGGGCTTTTTTTTTTACAAATAAAACCACACACTGCCCAACATTAGCGTTGTAACTTTATTCAAGATGCGTCAAGCTAAGTTATGGAGAGATTATTTGTGATATAACTTATGATTTAATTTTGAATGTGGTTAGTGGCTACATTAGTAGATAATGGGTTTTAGAGCTACTTGGAAATTTTAACTAATTAAGTTTCAAACGGTTTAGCATCGACATTTGTTTTGTTTAGATCTTAAGACTGGATACCGTAAATAGGGAAACAGTGTTACTGTTAAAAGTGATTTAAATCTAATATTATAAAAACATGAGTCTGAGAGGCCTCACCTAGTCTGGATGGTTTAATTAAAACTTCTGATCAGAGCAACACATACTGTAACTGAATCATATTATCTTACTAAAACTTTTAAGATATTGGAAAGGTCAGTGTAAAACAGAGAACCGCATGCAGCAGTGAAACAGTAACTTCCTTTCTTCTGTCACTTTTCAAGCTATCTTGAGATTGAAGGACTTCAGACCGCCCTCCATCACATGATTGATTGAGTCACGCAATATTAAAAACCCAATAATATAGAAACCTAATCATGTGACAGGTTGTTTAAGGTCAAGAAAGCATTTCAATCAATCAAGGAATGGAGTTTGATTGGTCCATTTAAATTCTTTTTATATGCATTTTAGATTAACGTTTTCCTCCCAATGAATGGCCTTATTCCTGCTATAAATCACATGACCTCATATTTTTAAGCTAGAAAGTTCACAGTTTATTCAATGGATATCAGAAGAACTCAAGATTAATTAGTAAGACTTAAGTATCAAGCATCTGTGGATAGAAAAAAATCCCATCTTAATCCTTCTATTACATTGCTTAACAGTTGAAAAGCATCTAGGAGCTCCAAACTAGTAATATTAAGGAAAGGCTTTTATATGCAGCCTTGCTAACCCAAGATGTATTATTTTGGGGGGAAAAAATAACTAAAATTATTTTTAATTTATTCTAAGCAAGGTATACTTCTTGCATTGTTGTTAATCCTCTTTATAGTTGCCAACATTAAAATGCATCGGTTGGGGTCTTTTTAGTTTCTGAACTATTGGACATCTTGGTAGAATTGGTAGGGTGTCCAATTATTGGGAGATCCACAGATAATAACTAAATATTAATCATCCTCAGTAGTCATTGTGTATTAGTAAACAACTCATTTTAGTAATTAAAAAGTGACACTGCATGATGCTGGCCCAGTCTGGCCAATATCAGCAAGATAGAATACAATAATGGACATTAAGTTTTATCAGGAGACAAAATGACAAAGAACACAAAGCTTTGATGTGCAACACAGCTTTATTTTTTCTAAAACACTGCTTTACTGAAGTCTATGAAATGTAAGAAAAAAATCTGTATAGTGTTTATAACAAATAACTTGAAGATTTCTGCTTTCTAACAATTTGTTGTATAAAAAAAAAAATAGAAAGTTGTCTTCATATACTTTGTAGCATAATTAATACCTTCTAGATTTTGTACCAACAGAAACAACATCCTTGTTTTGTATATTTGAATTTTTGCCTGAAATGACAATGCATCCGCTGGTTTTTGTAGTTATCGCTAAATGAAGTTGAAAGACGAAGTCAGGACGGTTTTTTGACAATCAATGCGGTGAAAAAAGTGGAAAAAAATCAACGAAATAAAAAAAGGTTTGTTACACTGACAGAAAATCTCCTTTTGTGACTCACATTTAGCCCTTCATAAGAAAACAAAATATGGTCAATACATCATTGCACAAACACTGCAGAGTGTAAACAACAGCTGTCATAAATATCAGCTGAGAAATACAATAGCAGACAATAAAGGTCAATGCAGGTGATAATATGGTCCATGATAGCTTATAACAGTGATTAATTGACTTAATGTAATACTTAAAATATCAATGAGAAGAAAAATCATAGAAAATGTGAATCAAACACGTTGACATTAACACTGACATGACAATATAATAAGCTTATGACACTTTGTGAATATTTTCATTATATTTAAAAACCTTCATTTCCCTTAATCCATTTTCATAAATTTCAACATAATCATATAAGTTAACATTTGCAATATTAAAAGAATTACAAAAATTAAATTAAAAAAAAATCTGCTTAGGTTAAAGTATTTAGTAAAGAGAAAATGATTTATATGAACATAATTAGCAACGGTTGATACTTAGCTATTGTTACTGCATAGGCGTCATAGATCTACATGTGTTATTGTCCAGGCAAACTAAGGACAATTCTTTAAAAGGAGACTTAACATGTTAGTATCTTAGAACCAAAAAACACTAAAATCTGAAAAGCATGAATTACAATGAGCTTTTTCATGGTTTTCCAAAGCAGATCAGCAATTTAAAACACTTTTTATTCAAATAATAAAGTAAAGAAAAAGGTAGACTTTGCACAGCATAGATTTGAACTAATAACCAGAGTTGGAATTATTAACATGAATGGCTGCAATAATTTGGGTTTCGTAAACAATCATCCCTTTTAAGCAACTTAAGATGCGTTTTGTTCACCTATTCTTAACATATTCTCAATATTAGACAAGGAAATGAATGTAACCTTATTGAGCTCTGACCCCTAAATGGTGACTTTAGACCATGAATGTTGTGCACTGTTGATATATGAATACATCATATCGTAAAAAGCTGTAAAAAAAAAAAAAAAAAAAAAAAAAAGGTAACTTGTATGGCTGTGTAAACCGGTGTATTAGTGTTAGCAAGGCAGGTTGTTTTGTACACATACGTTTCTTACAGTTTAGTTTTTTATTTTTTATTTTTATGATTTGAAATACGCAAGGTATTTTTTTTGGATAAAAATTTAAATATCCTGGAAAATCTCTTGTTGCAGTGGTTAGTGGTGACGTAGGCAGGCCTTTTCTCACCATGTGTTCTCAGTAGTCAGTGCTATTCTTCTCCTAAAACCAAAATCAGATGTACTGCTCACATCACAAAATGTCAGTTTTTCTAAGATAAGGTTAACACGAAGTGGAACCGAGCACAAACTTATCTTGACAGTTTAAACCTAGGCAAACAAACCTAGGCAAATGAGCTGAACTGTTGCAGATTTCTCAGGAAGGAAGATGAAGGTTATGTTGGTCAAGAAGAATAAAAAGTGTTCTGCCTAGACGTGTGCTCTAACCCTGCAGGCTGCTGATCGGTAGACAAGAGGAATGACTGCAAAGCACACTGATCTGAGAGAAGCTGTAAACCAGATTTATTAAGATACATTTTCTTTGTGCTGTCAGTGGGTTTGGAGTGACCAAACTATTTCAAGTTAAAACCAGAAAGCTTAGTTTGTTTTTTGTTTATCTTTCTCTGCATTAGTTCTACAGCTGCTGTTTGTGATAATAAAGGCACGTTTCAAATTATTAGATTAAAGCTAACTGGGGAGAGAGTGCAGTTGAGATGAACAGTCTGTGGGTATGCTTAGCCTTTCTCATGAATATTCATTAGTAGAGGCAAATAAAACATTTTTAAACCAGGGGTTTAGTTAAATAAGGCACTTCCAGGTATCGTTTGGATTTTGCAAGGGATCATTTGTATTTACAGCACGGCTGCCATCAGGCAGAAAGTAATAATGTCTGCATATAGAACAGTGAGGCTTGTATGATGTGAGAGTGTGGATGTGGGCAGTGCTTTAAAATTCAGCTACGGTAAAAATTCGACTGCATGAATCTAATCTGATCAAGTCAGCATTATCAGACTGACCTGTTGGCTCCTTCACTTCCACATTAAAAAGAGTACAAAGTGTTATTTGTGTGTAAACAAAACTAAGTCACAGTTTTTGATTTGTGTTGATTAAATTCACTAGTGCTCATAAAAGAGAAATGACCGTAGAGTAAAATCACCAAATTGACGGTCTACCGATCATCTCTGCGTTTCCAATGTCGGAGGCTCATACACAGGGACCCCCTGGTCCTCAAGGGGAGGCCGACCTCTGATGATGTCGGCTGCCCTCTCTGCGATCATGATAGTGGGGGCGTTTAGGTTCCCGCTCACAATGCTCGGCATGATGGAGGCGTCGACCACACGCAGCCGCTCCAGACCAAACACCCGGGCGTTTGAGTCCACCACCGCCATTGGATCGGTGGCGGAGCCCATTTTGCAGGTGCAGGAGGGGTGGTAGGCACTGTCAGCTTTCTGGCGGACAAAAGCGTCGATGTCTGCATCAGACTGGACCTGGGGACCAGGTTGGACTTCGGTACCACGGAATGGATCAAAGGCCCTCTGGGCAAAAATTTCTCTGGACAGTTTGACACACTGTCTGAATTCCCACACATCGATATCTGCAAAGATGAGAGAAAAATCACACATGATTCTGTTTAATCTGCTGCTGGGTGTCAAACGGCGCTTTGAGGATCTTACCAGTGGAGAGGTAGTTTGGTTGAAGAATCGGGTGATCCATCGGATTGGGACTTTTTAGCTTCATCCAGCCAACACTAACACTTCTCATTGGTCCAACATGGACCTAAAACAGGAGAACATTGCTATTTACTTTTCAACTGAGTTTGTTCACTTAAAGACAGCAACAATCTTTGTTAAGGCTGATTGCAACTTCCTCCATTATATTTGGTTTTTCTTTTTATATTCCTTATATTTTTGTTTCTATAGGTTTACTAATAATAGTTGTCTATCATATGAGCTGACTTTTTCAATACATGAATTAGATCTGTCCTACTCTGTCCACATACATTTAAAATAAAATTAAAATTAATTTATAAAATTTTAATATTTTAATTTCTGTTAGTGGATGCATTAGACATGCTTTTAAATTTAAAAAGCAGCAAAATGGATTAAGCATAGCTTTTTTTTATCTCAAACTAAAGAGCCGTTTATAAAACTGAGGTTAGGTAACCAATTTGTTCTTTGTGCAGAGCCCTTATCACTTCCTGGCAGGTGCATTTCACTGGAAGAGAATCAGCTCTCAGGAAATTTCTAGGCAGAGCCTCTGCTTGTTTTCTTGTGTATGGGGCTTTCCATGGAATTTTCCATGGCTCGTTTAAATGTTGCATTATGCCTTTGAATGAAGGATTAACATGGAACTGCTTGTATACGTTGTAGTAATAAACCTAAGTTTGCATGACAGCCTGTCTGCAGTCTGGAAACAACTGAAAAAGGACTTATTTCTGTCACGTGTCGCACCTGATATGCCTCTATCTTTGAAGCAACCCGACCATGGTCAATGACTTGAGAAGGCAGAAAATGAAACTGAATGTCAGGGTGTGCGACACCCGGTCGACTGCGGATAAACCCTCCGCTCTCCAAATGGGCTGTAGCTCCATAGCCTGGGGGGACACAGTGGTGGAGTGATCAGTGTAATTGCAAACACAGCACAAGCCTGATAGAAACGATGCAAATCTGCCACTGTAGATCTGAGCATGCAGCACTAAGTGTGAAGCCACAAGGTAGTTTCCTGCACTAATCAGCTCTCGATCAGCCGCGTTCAGTCTTTCGCCACAGTACAGAACACTTCACGGGAAAGCATGAGTCCTTATCGAGTCAAATTCTGACAATGACTCTAAATAAAATTCTTCAAAAAAGTTAACCCGTGCAAATATGTTCATATTATAGAGAAAATTACCCCTCCTAATAATATAAAAAGAAAATACACAGAGAAGAACCCTATTAGCATTCTACAAGCAACAACCTGATAAACTATTGAACGGACAATTAAAAAGCAGCAGCAGCAAAGTCCTGCTTTAAGAAGAGCTGCATGTTTTTCATACATTTCAAATAAAAACATTACGTAGCATTAACACCATCTCATATCTGTATCTGTAGAGCATTGCACATTGTGTGTGACATATATAGTTACACTATATACATAATAATGCTAAAGTGGAAATTATGCAGAAAAACTCTTCAAAATGGTTTAAAGATTAAGATTTTAAAAGTTTAGTCATACATTTGATTTCAGCCAAGTCCACCTTTGACTGATTTAATCTAAATAGGAAACAAGCTGCTCTGTGAAGGGCCCACATTTTCCCAAGAATTATAGTGAACAAGCATTGTCACTGACATCAAAGTCTCCATCAAAATCAGCCACTACAGTACACCCTGTTTTGTTTAACACGTAAAATTCTAATGAAGTGCATCAAAAATTGTGATGGTCTTGTGATCAAACCAGAAACAGTTTAGTGGGTAGGACTAATTATGCAAAATAAATGTGGTTACCGGTAAAAAGGGTGAGCCATTCAAGACCGATCTTGATCATGTGGAAAGGCTTCTGTGCCTTGTACAAGGTGATGGGCTGAGTGCACTGCTGCTGGACGTACAGCTCCAAGTGGTCCTGCAGATTATTACCAACGCCTAAATAACAGAGTGACAGAGTGAAGAAAGACAAAGAAGCCTTTAAGTTAAATTCAAATTCACTTTAAAAAAACATATTTTAATAATCATGACATTGTTAGGTAACCCAAACTATACAAGTAATCATGCAGTGAATGCTGATGGCTGAGGACAGAGGAGTGGAAGACTTGTAAACTTGTACCGAAGTCTTTAGAAAATGCTCAATATTCTCTATAAAAAAAATGTAGTGCTGGGCGGAGCACCTTATTAAATTAGATAGTTCTCTTTTTTTAACATACCAATACAGGTAAAGCTCTTGGTTCAGATGTTGCAAGTATTGGACTTTTATGGACAACACTGTGTGTCTAGACCAATGACAGCCTTGGTATTTTGTGAACAGTTCCCAACAGCTCTCTCCTCAAACAGGAAGAAAGAATGGACAGAAAACATTTTTAAAAGTACCAGACTTTCACAATGACATTGGTATAAAATGCTAGCTGACGGCAGGCTGGACAAAAGCTAAGTTATTTACACGGATTATAACAGAGTTGTTTTAAAGTCAGACATGTCACTCATCAAATTCCCCATTAAAGTGGCTTCTGTTGGGTGAACTGGGACTAAGTTAGTAACTGCGTCCCTCCTCCCCACCTGCCAGAAGTCAGAAAGCAAATGAGCAGGAAGATGTGAGCCACACACTGATCCCTCATTTACAGAGACTCTGACATCTGCCTGTTTTTCTGTCATAAAACCAAAGTCATTCTAGTTGCCCCGTGGCATCCGAAATAAGGCTTGGGTCTTTTTTTTGTTGAACTGCAGAGCAACAGGGTTGTAGTGAGCATTTAGCAATGGTCTTATTTGTGAAGAAAGTTCTGTGAGAAGCTACTGTGTCATTAACCCAGAGTCCATTAACCCAGCTTTGCTCTGGTTGAATGAAGACTGCTTTCCCAGCATCCAGCTAGGCAGAACACATGGACAGTATCTGGGCAATATGTGGACCTGGAGGGTGCTGATAAAGCTGGACTGGTCAGTCTCCCACTGACTGAATCATTCTTGACAGCTTCCGTCATAAAACCATGGCAGAGCTGGATTCATCAACCTTCCATCTAAGCAATGCTGATTTTCCCAGATGGAGAAAATATATTGCTCCCAAGTTACCACAGCTAATGTCAAAGCCTGACTACCGTACAGTAAACATGTCAAGCTACAGTATGCACTTTGTTAAATGCCAT